ACTTATTGCTATACAAAGAGCCAATTATTACATCAAAACTGAATAGTATACCGACTTCTTTGCATTGTATATTCCAAAATAATCCTGTCGCTCATATATACTATATTTTGATTTGAAGCAAACGCCCGAATTCACTAAAATACTCATACAAGGGGCGAATATTTTAACAGACGCATTACTGACAGATCGCGCGTGCAACACGCGTGCAAGATATCATCCAAGTGTGGGCAGACCCAGGCATTAACATGCCTGAGAGTTTCGTCCAGTATATAGTTACAATGGACCACTAATGGACCACTATAGACCTCTGTGAGAACATGCAATTTACAATAAGTAAAGCTATCTCGAATAACTATAAACTTTGATTCGATTTCGTTGAATTTAGCCTAGTAGCTGCAGTGTGCTTGCCGTATTCATAAAATAAGACCAAGCATTGTCGATTTTGATACTGCATGTAAATATATGGCTATCTTCAACATTTATTCCGTACCTCAGTATAAATTAAACAGAATCGAAAACATTGTTTTCAGCATATAAGCTTTAAAATTATTTACAATATAACATACTCGTAAAAATATATTTGATCTATAATTATAGAAATTAACGTTTCTGCGAAATATGCATGGCGCGGCTCGCTGCTGTATTGATGTGTGATTCGCACGTTTTTGGATTCCTTTACGACAATCATACAAAGTGCAAATTATAAATTAAATATAAAAATCATCCAAATATCAAATATTTATTGACCTCGTCTTGGATTGCTTATTAAAAATGTACTAGATTTTAGCAGATCAAGTGACCAACGTCTACCAGGGTCTTTTCTCCCCTCGTCAAGAGGAAAGACCCTCGCTACGAGGTTGATAACCTGAATCAATGACAAATTTACTATGCTTTATTACATTTTATTTTTGTGAACTGGCAGCCAATCTTCAAAAGGACCTTATGAGTTATGTAATATATATAGCCTATGCTCAACGATTTTCCATTACCGAGTGATATTTCTTCACCGTAAACCGCCACGAAAATTGAGATATATCCGATAACCGGCATCTCAAAATCGCCAAAACCGCCTAACCGTCAAACTATAATAGACCCCCTATATTCTGCAATACCGCGGCTTAGTGCAGATTTGGTGCATCTTAACGTCTCGTGTTAGTCAATAACGTTATAATAGAACGTCAGTACAAAACTGGAACATTTGAATAACAGAAAGTCCGAAATGACAAGACATCTTGAGAATACAATATATAATTCAAAACAAGACGAACTATTTCTAGCTATATGGGAACTTTTTCTACGTTCTCTCACACCCGACTACAAAACGTGCGAATGTACGAACGTGGTGGAACGGAATGTGCGCACGTGCGTGGGGGCGTTTTGTAGTCAGGTGTGAGAGTACCCTGGTTGCCAGAGGTTCTGTATCTCTCTGGCAACCAGGGTAGTGTGAGAGAACGCAGAAAAAGTTCCCATATAGCTAGAAATAGCTCGTCTTGTTTCAGTTGAATTATACATTGTATTCTCAAGATGTCTTGTCATTTCGGAATTTGTTTTTACATAGTTCATTCTTTGATATAAGTTTTATGAATTCTTAAGAAACGTAGATGGAATAAACAGCTGACGCCAGCAGACGTGACCTTGCATTTCATTGTGTCAAGTGTTTGTTTTCGCAGACGCCAGCAGATGTGACCTTGCATTTCATTGTGTCAAGTGTTTGTTTTCGCAATCACCATGCACATCGGAATGCTGGCGGTTGCTTATAAAAAGAGGGAGTTCATTGTGCGTTTCAAGTTAAATCGGGAAAAGGCAAAGTATAGCAGATTAGCAGTACCAGCAGAAAGACACATAACTCATAAGAAGTAGCAAAGGTATGTTTCTAGTGTATTTATAATTCTGGAACTCGTATATTTGGTTAGTTTCAGCCAGTTTGCTTGCGAGGATACCTATTTACCGAGCCAAGGATTCGAGCTCGGAATCGAGCCCGGATTCAGGTTTTGGCACATATGCCATGTTGACCGCCATGGTCATTTTACCCTAAAACAGTTGAGATTACCTGTGCTAAATGAAACGCATACAAACTCATATACAGGTCCTAGACTATTAAATAAAACTTAAGCCCCGTTTACACTATACGCTCAATTTTTGGTACGGCACGGATAAAATTGGTAGCCGTACCACTTTTTTGGTTCTTGGACTACCTATTTAGCTATTAAAGCCTCAACAAATCGAAAACAGAAATGCCAAATAAAAGGATCCATTTCATCAGAAAAATCGATCAAATGTGGTGTACCACAAGACTCTATTCTTGGGCCACTATTCTTTCTAATATATATTAATGATTTCCCTCAATGTCTAAATAATACAAAACCTCGGTTGTTTGCTGATGACACAAATCTAACCGCTACTGGAGATTCTATACCTCACCTTGAGACTGCAGTGAACTCTGATTTGGAAAACCTTAGAAAATGGTTAATTGCCAATAAACTTAGCCTAAATGTAGCTAAGATCGAATTTATGTTAATTGGTTCGAAGCCAATGATCAAAAGTGTTTCAAATTCACAACATAATATTGAAATTGAAAACAAACCAATTAAACAAGTTTACGAATGTAGAACTCTTGGAGTGACAGTTGACCAGCATTTGTCTTGGAAAAGTAATACTGACAATATTTGTAAGAAAATATAACAGCAGGAATATCGGCAGTCTTCGGCGTTTAAAAGAGTTTACTGATAGACAAACTCTTATTTCTGTATATAATGCAATTGTTCGGCCATACTTCGATTATTGTTGTGAAGTATGGGATGTGTTTGGGGAAACACAATCAAAGCGACTCCAAAAACTCCAAAATAGCGCTGCTCGAATTATCATGAATATGAGCAATGACACAGAACATTCTGTTGCTTTACAAGCATTGAGCTGGGTGCCACTCAAAACGGAAAGACAAAAAGCTAAAGCAAAATTAATGTAAAAAATATTAAATGAAATGGGTCCGGAGTCACTTACTAATCTTTTCACATATAAAGGTGAGATGACAAACTACAATCTTCGGGATATTTCGAGTAGTCTTTGCTTACCTAAACCGCGTACAAATAGCATGAAAAAGAGTTTCATGTACGACGGAGCCTACCTTTGGAATTCTATTCCGAAGGAAATTAGAGAAAGCAAATCCTTTGCCTCTTTTAGGAATAAAATCGCTACTCACATTAATAGTAATTGTAAATAAATGTTCCCGCAGACCATAACTTACTAAGTACCGGTACTATACTTTACCTATTTAATACTATTTCTAATATTTTGTAAATAATTATTCTAAATTTTATACTTCTGTAATTTCTTCTATACACGCCCCCTGTGGAAATCAGCTTCGGTTGACGGGGTTAGCGTGGTTAAATAAAGTTTTCTATCTACCTATACCTATGGTACCGTACCAAAAATTGAGCGTAGTGTAAACGGGGTATCCGAGCTCGATTCCGAGCTCGAATCCTTGGCTCGGTATATAGTATATCGCTTTGCTTGCTCTATTATGTTAATTTAGCGAAATTCTACAAGTATTGAAGAAAAGTCACAACTAGCCGTCGCGTCCACAATAGGGTCACAATATGCCGTAGCGAAATTGTTTGAAATTGCAAACCAAGCATCTCAGGTCTCAATACCATCAATTCGAATGGTTTTCGCTTAAATTGATTTTCTTCGCGCTATTTGAAAATTGAAACATTTTGGGTTTACATGAGTGCTAATTTAATTTGTAAACAAACTGTACGTAAATTCTGCCGGTGTTATTAAATTCGTTCGGGTGTAGTATGAACGTAGTCTCTGCAGTTAAATTTTAATTTTCTTTCAGATGCCGGGTCTCTATCCGCTTAATGGCAAAGTACACAATCTTAAACCTGGCGAGGATATGAAGATGGATGTAGAAAACGAGGGTGTACCGAGTCATGCCTCTGAAGTTATTGTCTATGCTAAGATTCGCACTGGATGGGTTCAAGGCAAAGATGAAGATGGTGAACTGGTTCTATCTGTTACCGGCCCAAATGGGAAAATCGAAAGGAGATTGTTCTGCCACGTTTACGAGCAAAGCGCGTGGGCCTACAATTCAGAGAATATTTCCCTCCCTGTGGAGCCTGGGGCATGTGCCACTGGAAGCAAGGGAAAAGAAATTACTGCTACACTTGAAGTTGGTGCCCAAGGGGGCGGCATCATCGCGTCAATTCAAATGGTTGGTTACCGCGTTTATTGACAGCACTAATATCTCTAGTACTGACAGCCATATACTAGTTAGCTGAACGTTTCCAGAGTTCACATTATAACAGTCTCATTTGTAAATGTCATGTAGAATGCAGGGTTGGCAAATGTTCTTATATTAGTTGTTCTTATATTATATAAGAACATTTTTTGCGAGGCAAAAATGTTCTTATATTTTCTTATATTATTCTCATTAATTATTCTACTTCGAAGTAGTAAATTTTAACTATTTGACATTCATCCTGAAAATAAAATATACAGATAATAGTCGTATAAATACAGCAGTAACAACTATTTTTATATTTTTTAAAGCCAAGAGGTTATATTACAGCAACATCTAAAATTGAAGTTGAACCATCATTTTAGGATTTTGGATGATTTGTTAATATGACGTCATCAAAGTTTTTGAAAATGTTCTTATATTGCAAAAAAATGTTCTTATATTAATATAAGAAATAAGAACATTTTATTTTTGAAAAAATGTTCTTATATCCAACCCTGGTAGAATGTAAACTTCTTTTGCAAGTTAATTAATAAAATGGACAAAAATTACTGAATAGTTGTGTGGCTGCAGAACAGATCCGAAGCTGTCAATAGACCTTTCTTATAATGTAGTGTATAACGAGTGAGATAAATGACGATATTCGGTTTATGTTTTATCCCTTAGGCCACGGTCAAACGTCGAACTTTTCATGTGCCGAACCTAATGCAAATGAAGTGAAACAAAGAACTTAGCTCCAGGGTTCGTTGTCTCCAAGACCAAAAAGATTCAAAGACTTTCAAAGATTTTTTCTGCCTATTTTCAAAGACTTTTCAAAGACCTTTGAGAGCAATTAGCTGTCGAAAAATTGCGAGTGTAAGCACCATTTTTACCCAGTAATTAGTCCCGTCAAATCACATCCTAAAATGCGCATTTTCGTCGATATTTGCGAAAATCTTGATTCAATCAATCTATTTTATTAGCTACGAAATCGTATAATCAATTCCTCACTACAGAATTTAAAGACTTTTAAAGACTTTCTTCGCTTTTTCACACAATTTAAAGACTTTTCAAAGACCTCAAAGACCTGCATTCCAATTTAAAGACTTTCAAGGATTCAGTCAAAGACCGCTACCAACCCTGTAGCTCATTATACATTAGGTTCGGCACATGAAAAGTTCGACGTTCGACTCTGGCCTTACTTAGTTTAATTTCTTACACGGCCGACTGGTTATGGGTTTTGGTCAAAAATTTTCAAGGGAAGCAACCGAAGTGTGGTCGTCTGTGCACGCGTGGCTAATGTCGCAGTGATAGAGGTATTTTTCTCAGAAACTAATGAAGGCAAGTAGAAAACAAGTTTTACATGTTGTGATTACATCCAAACTACACAAATCATTTCACTGAAACTTACCTACGTCTTTAAGATATTTTAGAGTAATTGCAACACCTTTAGTTCTTGGAAAAAGATGATGTTGCAATTCAGGCAATCCTCTTGACCTTGTAAATTCCAAACTGTTCAGATGTTTGGCTTCTGTGAAACGAGTACCTTCTGGGAATATACCAAGCTAAACACAAGACATAATAGTTTTAATAGGACTTACAGTGCTCACTCATCACAAATTGGGTTCCACTATTCCCCAAAGCAAATACTCACAAAAAATGGTATAGGAAAGTCCTTCAACCGTTCCAAACTCTTCTTCAAAACAGGAACATCAGAGTCCCAGTTTCGTTTTAAAAATACATACTCTGCAAACCACCACATCCAGCCAATCACAGGTAAGAATTTGAGGAAGCCTTTCATGTAGCATTTGGTACCCTGGGAAAGTAAATATTTAAATTCTTGAGATAATTTAACCTATGGTTGCATGTGTATTACAACTCAATGAATAAACAGGGTTATACATTTGTAGTACAGTGGCAGAGCCGTAGCCACATGG